CCAAAGTCAGAGGCTCAACCGACTGAGCCACCCAGGTGCCCCTATCCTGAAAGTTTTTAATGTATATAATTATGGAGAGAATATATAATGAACTTCCGTGTACCCTCACTTGGCTTCAAACATTATCAACACTTGGCAGTCTTATTTGAAAAGAACAACAAAAGTAGTTCCTTCTAAGTCTTTTCTGAACTGTATTTTCTGAACTGAATAGTGGAGAAACCCTCTATCATAAACCTGTTCTAACACACTTTCTTGAAATATCAAGAAGTTGTGTAATTAGATACAGTCTTCCTGTACTCTAAGAAATATTGTTACACAAATGTTAAAAAAAAAAACTAAGTGGAAATTAATTGTTGTTTTATAGTTTAAATGTCTGGATTCATATTGTATACTGTTTCTTTTCCAAAGGTGGAAGGAACGGCATACCTAAGTTCTTTTCTGTGGAAATCTCAACAAGCAGGACTGTGGGAACGACCTCGAGGACAGAACATGCTAGATGGTGGAGCACCTTTCTACACAACCTACAGGACAGCAGATGGGGGCTTCATGGCTGTTGGAGCAATAGAACCCCAGTTCTACAAGCTGCTAATCAAAGGTAAGTAATATTCCTGTGCCTCTCCTGCTCCCTCCCCTTTTCTTGTGGGTGTTCTTTAACCTCGATTTTAGGCCTTTTAAATTCATTATGTCTTTTATTATATATCCACTTTATGATTATAATTATAATTATATTGTGGGGCATTTCCCTTATGTTTAAATTTACAGATACTTTCATAAGTCTATAAAATAGCTCAGAGTTTTAAAAAATAATCCATTTTATGCAAGTTCAATTTTTCGTTACATTTCATACTCAGCAGTGTTAGATATTTATGTTGCCCTTGCGTGCCCCTGTCTTATTCTCAGAAATGATGTGCTGGTTCTGCCAGTCCTTATTCCTTGATAGATGCCCCCATGGGGTGCCAGAGCACAGAGTGACTTCGGTGAATAAGATTCTGTTGGAATATGTTGTTATCACTTGATGCTTCTACAGTTTACCTTTCTTGCAGATTCTTGTCTCATTTGCATGTGGCCACAAAGTTAGCAGGAGAATTTGCGATCTCTTCTTCTCTAATTAAACAATCAGACTAACATTTTGTTCCTGTAACATGTTTGAATTTGAAGTTTACTTTACAGGTAAATGAATAGCTAAGAAGTTTTAGAATATACATTGAAGAGGTATGACAAGCTGGTCATGGTGTGTCTGTCTTTTCAACTTCACGGTTGGAGTCTCATTATGTTTCGTAGCTTTTCAGATGCAATATACTACTCAAAGTTGTTTGCATATAGCTGAAATCATTGTTTTTTGCTAGCATCAGAAAGTGTTTTATGATCAACAATATTAACTTCACTAACTTAAATATAGTTGGAAAAACAAACAACAAGATGGTTTATGTAGATCATAAAAGTCTTTCTGTTCCAAAATTAAAACTAAGAATGGAAGGTATTAATTCAAAATTAGGGACAGAACAATGCTATATGAGGGGCTGAACACAGAGGGATCAACACCCTTACCTCAGTGGTGCAGGGCCTTGGAAGGCAGGAGGGATATAGCAAGGTGAAGTTTGTACCTGACATAAATCTTGTATATTTATGCATTGTCTGTAGAGAATTTAAACGTAATAATAAAATTGACTAAACTTCAGTCCGTTTTTTTTTGTTTTTTTAGACAGAGTGTGAGTGGGGAAGAGGGGCAGAAGGGGAGAGGGAGAGAGAATCTTAAGCAGGCTGAGTGTTCAGCACAAAGCCCAACACAGGGCACAATCCGTGCCCCTAGGATCATGACCTAAGCCAAAATCAAGAGTCGGACACTCAACGGACTGAGCCACCCAGGTGCCCATCAGTCAGCTTTTTGTCATCATCATTCACAGGCAATTCTAAATGACAATGGTAAAATAAACTCATTGAAAAAATTTTGTTAGGAGAGGCTGAGTGGCTCAGCTGGTTAAGCATCTGACTTAGTCTCAGGTCATGATCTCATGGTTTGTGAGTTCGAACCCCTTGTCAGGCTCTGTGCTGACAGCTTGGAGCCTGGAGCCTGCTTCAGATTCTGTGTCTTCCTCTCTCTCTGGCCCTCCCCAGCTTGCGCTCAGTCTCTTTCTCGCTCAAAAATAAATCAACAGAAAAAGAAAACAAATGTTAGTTTGAGTTCTAAACAATTGCTACAGCTATTGTTGAGTTCTAATAACATATGTAAGATCTATTAGCACATTTTTATACTTAGCCTTTAGTAGATATTACATAGAAATTATTCAGAGAACTCCCAATTTTACGGTCTCACTCCTGTGTTTTCTTTTAAAATTTGTATAGTTTCAACGTCCACATTTAGGTCTCTGTTAAATTATGATTAATTTTTTTGTATGGGGTGAGGTAGGGCTCCAACTTCATTGTTTTGCATATGGCTATCCAGTTTTCCCAGCACTGTTTGTCAAAAAGACTATTCTTTCTCCATTGAATGGTTTTGGCGTCTTTGTTGAAAATCAGTTGGCCATAATTGTAAGGGTTTATTTTTGGACTCATTGATGTACATGTCCACCCTTATGTCAGTACCACACTGTGTTGATCATTGTAGCTTTGTAGTAGGTTTGAAATTAGGAAGTGTGAGTCTTCCAATTTTGTTCTTTTTTAAGATTGACTATTCGGGGTCCCTTCCATTTCCATATGTATTGTTTTTAATGCTTATTATTATTGAGAGAGAGGGACAGAGTGTGAGTCAGGGAAGGGTAGAGAGAGAGGGAGACACAGAATCTGAAGCAGGCTCCAGGCTCTGAGCAATCTGCACAGAGCCTGTCACGGGGCTTGAACCCATGAACCACGAGATTATGACATGAAGCGAAGTTGGACGCCCAAACGACTGAGCCACCCAGGGGCCCCTCCATATGTATTTTAGAATCATCTTGCCAATTTCTGCAAAAAAGGCAGCTGGGATTTTGATAAGGGTTGTGCTGAATTGTGCATCAGTCTGGGGAGTATTGCCATCTTACCAGTATTAAGCCTTAATACCCATGAACATATATGATGCTTTTCATTTATAGAGGTCTAGAATTTTTCCATTGATACTTTGTAATTTTCAGTGCACACACCTGCACTTATTCTGCTAAATTTATAGAAGAATTTTTTTTTTTAATTTTTTTAACGTTTATTTATTTTTGAGACAGAGAGAGACAGAGCATAAACGGGGGGGGGGGAGGGTCAGAGAGAGAGGGAGACACAGAATCCGAAACAGGCTCCAGGCACAGAACCATCAGCACAGAGCCCAACGCGGGGCTCGAACCCACGGATGGCGAGATCATGACCTGAGCTGAAGTCAGACGCCCAACCGACTGAGCCACCCAGGCGCCCCAAGAATTTTATTATTTTTGATGCAATTGCAAATGGTACATTTTTGTATTGTTATTAGTGTATAGAAATACATAGTAAGTAGTTACTTTTGTATATTGATCTTATTTCCTGCAACCTCACTGAGCTCATTTTTCTTCTAAGTGTGGATCTCTGAGTTTATCTTGCTTGATTTCCTTAAGATTCTTGGATGTGCAAGTAATTTGTTTTTCATCAAATTTGGGAATTTTTCAGACTTTTTTTCTTCTAGGATTTTCTCTGCCTTTTTCTGTCTCTCTTCTTGTGAAACTCCCTTAATGCATATGTTGGTATTTGTGTGTGTGTATGTATACATTTAGCTTTCTTGTAACAAAACAGCTTGTGGACTTTACCATTTAAAATTGAGCATCATCTTTCCTTTCCAGTGAAACAGAAAGAAAAATTAAAAATAAACGGGAACAAAATTACAATAGACAGTGTCAATTTCACATAAGATCCTACAGGTTCTTCTGATTCTCCCCTCAAGTGGCAGGGCTCAAGTTATCATTAGGAGAGAATTTTGTTTTAAAAATGTCATCTAAAACTGCAAAGATGTCCGTTAAGCATCATAATTAGACATGCCAGCAGAGAAGCCATGTTGTCAAAAGGCTCACCCAAACATCTCAAACTCACCCTTTGCTGACCTTCTATAACCCCATTTTTTAAATTTCTTTTTTCTTTTTTTTAAACAGGAGAAAGTAGGCAGATAAATGTTGGTAAATGCTAACCTTCCATATTCATATACAGACACAGAGTAATCTCTGAGCCCAATAGAAAGAGAAAGGAGGGAGAAAGCTAGAATTCTATGTACTACTACACAGGGGCCTACCACCTTCCAGCTTCCAGCAGAGCTAAGGGAGTAGAAAATTTTTCTTTTTTCCCACAGAGCACAGTAGCATTGATTCCATTAAGTTTTTGTTGGGACAGGAAAGGATAAAAATTGAATGTTGAAGAGAAAGGGGTAGAGATTCTTTTCCCACTGTATTCTGCTCATGGTATTCCCCCCCCCCCCCC